TAGAAATATAGAAATATAGAAATATATATAGATATATATATATATATATATCATATACTTTAATATTTACATATCTATAGATACACATATTCTAATTATACTGCATGCTCGTACGTGCGAGCAATCAACATTCTATACCACTATACTGTGCTAGTAACAAACCAGCGCACCTGTGATTGGTAGTACCAAGCCGCGTACAGCTCCCTTCTCCTAATCCTCTCTTCCACCCCCACGCCCACCGGCCCGTCCACGTGCGGCAGATACTGGGCTAGTTGTGGCACCAACTGTAGGTACAGAGCTATCCTCACAGCATCGGCCGGTACTTCATACACCGCCTGTGTGTACGCACTCTCATCGCCGCCAAGGTGCTGTGTGTGATAGTTCAGCGGGTGCCGGAGCCGTAGAGAGGCGATCTCACACAGACACTCGAGTGCGGGAAGCCGATGGCTGGCATCGGAGTTGGTGTGGAGGCACTAAGTTGGGACAAAGGAGAAGGGTATGTGAGTGATGAGTATGCGCATGCATGTGACAGGTGTGGTGGAGTGGTTGTGAGGATTATATATAAATATATATATATATATATACATAATGGGCAGTAGGAGAGGCACACCTTAGATATACTGACAGCGCACGCAACAAGGATACCGTGCCAACCATCAAGTAATCGATGCATGTATACACATCGTGGTACGCAACTTATGTATGGGTGTGGTATAGCAGATAAACTCCTGTTTGACGACCCACTTCAGGAATTCGGGGTGGGTCTCGAAGGATTTGATAGGACCATATATCGAGCCCATACAATACACCGAACGCATACTATGAATCGAACACACAAATATGGACAGCAGCATAGCATGCGAGCACTCACATCAAGTGACCGATGCATTACACACATCACGGTCAGCAGCTGGTGTATGAATGTTGTAATCGTATTACAATACCAACACGTAGAAGCACTTGAAATGCCACGCTATAACTTTATATGAACACTTAACTATATCTTAAATACCCCGAGATGGACTACAGGCACACACACACCAAGTGACCTCCGCATACACACACACCATAGTCAGCAGCTTCTGTATGAGCGCTGTATCGTAGATGTACTCCTCATCCACCCACTGCAGGAACCGCGAGAGAGTCTGCAGCGTCGCCAGCAGTAGGGCGTTGTGTGTGGATTGGCTCAGCACATACATGCACATGTCAAACACGAGCCCGAACTCGTCCCGCATAGCGTCCTGGAGGGTCCTAGCCTGGCGCTTGGAGTATTGGTCAGCGGCGTAGTCGAAGACTTCTTCACTGTAGGTGTAGGGGTGAGGATAGAGATGAGCTTATAGATATGAGAGATTATTAACTATGAAGTATGCGGCAGAGGCATCGTGTAAGACTTCTTCACTGTAGGTGTAGGGGTGACGATAGAGGTGAGCTTATGGATATGAGAGATTATTAACTATGAAGTATGCGGCAGAGGCAACGTGTAAGACTTGTTCACTGTAGGTGTAGGGGTGACGATAGATATGAGCTTATGGATATGAGAGATAATTAACTATGAAGTATGCGGCAGAGCACGTGGTGTGGGGATCATGCACATTGAATTGGAGATATAATACGAGAATAGACTACACGACAAAGGAATAACAATAACAGTAGATCTGCAATCACTATTGGTATTGCCATTGTAACCCAGCTAGTACCGACCAACCATGTTCTTGGCGTGAGTGGCAGCGACGATTTGTCTGTGACAGCAGTCAGTCAGTGCGAGGGTGAGATGAACGATACAGTAACGGGCACCCGCACACTAGTAGGTATTACTGGACATTTACACTATCGGAACTAAAACTGGACGAGAGATTGGGCATACACGCACTTAGAAGAATGGGGCCAACCGTGTAACTCTAGTTGCCCTTCAGGGGGGCAGAGAGGAATGGGTAGACACGGCAACGGGTTTTGCAATAAGATACAGTACATGTAGGTATTGAGATAGTCTGTTTTAAGTACAGGTAGGTATTGAGATAGTCTGTTCTGTTGTAGTACGGATGTGTACTAGTCATTTGCGCAATTATAGGGCCCAGACTGCCTGACTGTGCCATGTCGCAGTGGTACATCTGAGTAATCTATAACGTTTAACTCTTTCGACCACCGGATGAACACCCACTGAACCAGGCGGAGATATACACAGTCAGAGAAAAATGGTCACTCAGTTAGAGTATTAGGAATCTATTCAGCCCCCAGACACAGAGGTAGTAACTGATAGGTATGTACTGGTGTCTACCCAGAAATCGCATGCTAACCTTCCCTTGTAAAAAAAAGGTCGTCACAATGGAATCACCAAACCCCAACGCCAACAAAACTGTCAACACACCCAAAAGCACATATGCACCTTACACCAAAAAGAAAAAAGACTGAAACAAAGTGGCGCTCAGTATGCTGCACGAGTCCGACTTGTCTCTGAGATGGCGCGGTAGTACGAACCAGAAAGATATATA